AAATAGGACCAGATAAGATTTTTTTCTTTTTCTGCTGCCTTTCATTTTATTTGATTTGCATTGTTTTGTTGTACGTAATGTGTTTTGTTTTGTTTGTTTTTAAATGAAATGAATAAATACAAAATAAAAAATAAAAAACCAACAGCTCAGGGGCTGGACAAATTCTATTATCTTTTAAATTAGTTTATTTTGTTGTATATTTTGGGACACAAGTCACCCGGGGGCCTTAAATTTGCCATGCGTTTTAGAATCAGTTTTTGTTGTCATTCAATTCGTCGTACTAAATTTTTTTTCTCTTTTTGATTAGATTGTTGTCTGTTGCTGCAGTAAAAAAATAAATAAATAAAAACAAGAATTGACAAATACAGGATTATTAAATTATATCTATCTGTCTAACTTTCCAGGCAAACTCACCTTTACACTGCAGGCCCTGCCTCATGAGGCCCCACAGCAGGGAGCCACAGTGGTCACAGAAGGTGGGCACCTTGTAGTTGTGAATACTGAACTTATGGGGCATATTAACACTGAACCGCTGCGAACCCACCTGCAGAGGGAGACACACCCACACAAAAACACAGCATGACAAAGAGGTCTCCAAAAGAAAGGACGGCATGTTTTGTGTTAATGAAGAACATTTTCATTTGTAGTGGGCGGCTTGTATCTTATATCGAGCAGTGACACGATAATGGAAAGTCGAAGATCATCACAAAAATCCTGATCATTGTAATGTTAACGTGTGCACCTCCTCAGCTGTGTCCTCCTGCTTCTTCATCCCAGCACACTTGGTGATGATGAGCTCATGGCAGCGCTTGTGGACGACACACGTGCACACTGTGAGCCCAAACACAATCACAACTCAACTCGTGTTCAGTTCAGTCCAAAACAAAATTATCAGAACTGAAGAATTTAACAGTGTTTTAAAAAAAACTGTGACGTTATAATTTTATTTTGGCAGTGAAAGCCAAGAAGTGATTCATTAAACCTAAACTGAATGTAAGCACTAAAAACTCTCATTTTGTACAAATACTTTCACAACTAAYGGAATGATTGTTGACATTGCTGCATGTTTGTTGTATTAAGCTAAAGGGGTTCTCATGCCAGCCAGATTGCATGTAAAAGTAAGAACACAAATAATCATTTTTTACTACAACATGACTCTTTAAAATTAATACTGGTGCATAAATGTATCTTGAAAAGCTGTGAGCAGTAGTACACGTTGAACACAGCTGCAGAAATGAAATGTTTGCTAAAGCTGTCCACATTTCTTTAATTTCTTTAGGAAGGTTAAATTTTTAGGTCGTGCTCGACTTGAATCTTCAATTAAAACACAGTGAGCTGTGCTGATGAGGGGTGTTGTTTAAGCTAGCGGCAAGTCGATGAAGTCAATCCAGGGTTGAATTACTGAGTTAAAGGCTTGTCAGATGCCAAATTACAGGCTTCTAATGCTCAGACACTGGGGGGATCCGGTAACGCCGGTGTGTCAGGTTCAAGTCGTGCTGGCTGACTGGTAAGTTTCCACTAGCACGATATGGACGTGTCCAGGACGCCACTGATTGTACAACTCTGCATGAGCACTGGAAATGTTCAATAAATGTTCATCGTTTAGTATCTTAACTTAAAGCAGCCTGGGCTGGGATGCAAACAAACGCTTGAACAGTAAAAGCAAAACTCTGGCTGCAACTAAATCACAGCTGTCACTCAGCAACGAGTAATTCCTCTTGTGTTCTTGTTTTAAATAATAAATGAAGTGCAATGTTACTTGAGAGATTGAAAAGGGCCGGAGCGAAGTACTCACCCTGACACTGGTAACCCTGCTTTCCCAGCACACCCCTATCAGATCACAAACAGAGGAGACGACATGTGAGCGACGTTGATTTTAATGACACTCTGTTAGAGGTAAAACAGACGTGTTTGTGTGCTGCCTACCAGATAAAATCTCTGCAATGTGAGCAGTAGGTTGGCTGCCTCAGGTAGGTGGCCATGAACTTGTGCCCGTTGACTTGATGGACACGTCTCCGGACGGCGCCCTGCCGCCGGCGAGGACCGATCCTCTCGCGAAACACTCTTTCCTCATTCTCGTTTGTTCCTGAGGCTGTGGGGAAAAAAAAAAAACCACACACACACACACACACACACACACACACACACACAC